GTGTGTGTGTGTGTGTGTGTGTGTGTGTGTGTGTGTGTGTGTGTGTGAATGCGGGCATGCTTGCAACAGCAGGGTGAAGAGACAACAGAGTATGAGAATATATTTGATAGGTAGCTATCTGACAGAATTAATATCCAGGATACATGAATAACTCAAATAATTAAACATCAAAAAGCAAATCATACAGGCAATATATGAGCAATACATGAACAATAAATACATGAGAATATGTTCAACATCCTGCACCATTAGACAAATGAAAATCAAATTAGCACTGAGAAGCCTGGCATGGTGGGGCTCTCTCTCTGTCCCTGTCTCTCTCTGTCCCTGTCTCTCTCTGTCTCTCTTTCTCCTCTCTCTCTCTCTTTGTATGACAAAACGTCTACAATTTCATTAGAAAATTTCAGCTTCTTGTGAAGGGTGTGAAATTTAAAAATAGGAATGAATTTTGATCAACCCTAGCAACCTTACAAGATAGTTCAAAAAGGATTCTAAGTAGGTTCTAAGAGTTACATGTAGCTCTTACAGAAGAGATTTTTACTTCTCTATAAGCTTTTTCTTGAAATTCAGTTATTGTCATTTCCTTATGTGTGTGTGTGGATGTTGTGCTTGCACACGTCTGTGCACATGGTGCAGTATCTGCTAAAGTCAGAAGAGGGCATCAGACCTCCTGAACCTGGAGTTACACTGGTTGTTAGCTGCCATGTCAGCACTAGGAATAAACAAACCAGTGTCCTCTGAAAAAGCAGTCCATGCTCTTAATTGTTGACCCATCTTTCCAGTCCCTGAAATTATTTATCTTGTCATCTTACTTAGAGTCATTCTAAAGCAATATAAATAAATAAACAAACAAAAAATAAAGAACTTAATAAAATGACCATTTTCTAGTTAAATTAATACTAACAAGGACTGTGTAATGTTATGGAGTTCTTCAAGATTTTACGAAATGCATAAAAATTACAAATGTCATCATATGTTTTTTGTCTAAGAACAATGAATGCAGTACCTTTTATGAGAGGCGTAGCTCACTGGAAAGTTTTAGAACTACTTCAACAAGTGGGTGTCACTTGCTGACTTCAAGATAAGAACGTGGCTCTTTCTTAAATGAGCATATGGCATTAATACCTTGGTAGTGAAGAAAAGAACACACTGGAGAAAAAGCAAGCAAATCTGTACTAGAGAATACTTATCTAAGTAAGAAGGTCTGACTGTAAGGGGCCTGGTATTCAGTCTTATTGCTGCTATTGAAAAAGAAGTACAAGAAGGAAGTCAAAGTAGCTTTCTTAGTACTGTCTTGTTTGTTTCTCTCACAGCCACTCTGAAACTGAGGCAGGTGACATTCCACAGATGAGGACATTCTGTTGGACAGAAAAAACTGCAGATCAGTTTTGTCTCTGATTCTTGGGATAGTATTTGGTGCATTTAAAACAGCATGTTCTCAAAGGAGCACTGAAACAGGCTGTCTGCCTCACTTCTTGTAAATTGTTGCACTTGATTTTTCACTAAACCTTTATTTTATTAGCCAATAAATGCATTTACTTATTTATTATTGTGTTGATGGTATACACATGTCCATGTGCATAGAGTCCTCCTCTATGGCTCCATCCTCTGGTCTCTTAAGACAACATATCTCTAAAGACAACATTGAACTCTGAATTTGGCATTTTTTTAAAGATATGCTGGTGACCAGCAGGTCCTACCACAATCCTCCTGTCCCCAATTCTGCACTCTTCTAGCACTCCTCCAGGTTCAGGGGCCCACTGTCATGACATTTTACATTCGGTGCTGAGGATCTGAGCTCAAGTTCTTATGAACCATCTCTTTCAGCCTTTCGAGAAATCTTTTTAAATTTAACACTGAATTTCCAGGTAAGATGGAACTGGTGACCTGTTCTTGGTGTCTGGGACAGTGCCTAAGAGGTGAGACTTGTGCATGTGCATTCTCTCATAAAGATCAATCTTCCCACACTACATTTCTACTGTAAAACTGTGTGTGTGTAGCTTATGGTTATTGCTAGTGTTGTTTTTAGCTTATGAAAAATTATGTATACTTAAGATCTGAGTGTGATGGGACATACCTATAATCCAGGACTCACTCAGGAGATAGGGACAGACGTATCATAAATTAAACCAGCTTGGACTTCATCTTGGGCATAGACAGACCCTTTGTCCAAAAGCCAAACTTGTAAGCCAAACAACCAAACCAGACTGAAACAGCGACTCCACAAACATCAGCATAGACAGCTGACACAAATTCAACAATTACAAAAGTGGACACTACATTTAAAGGTATTATAAAGTGCCAATGTCACATGATCAATTTTAATTCATGAATGAAACAATTTTGAATTAACTTCAAATATATGTACTTACTTTTCTATTTACTTAAGAGAGAAGCAACAAGTGTATTGCATACTGGCTTGCCTGCTAGTCCTGCAAATGGTAGAGAAACTTCTACACCACAGTGTTTAATACACACACACACATCACTTCCCCACTGCCACCATGTTTCTCTCCATTAAACCCACAATAAGAGCTTGCTTGAATGTGCTCTTCTCACCTAGGTTGATCTGTACCAATCTGTCTGCAACTATACCTGCCCACCTCTAGCACCCTCTGTATCATTTCCAAGCTCTCACTAGAAACACATCCTACATGGAGCCTGTGACCACTATTTACACAATAGCTTACCAAATAATGCAGCTATGATACAACCAAACATTTCTCAGATGACTTAGAAGATTTTGTCTCTTCTACAATGATGTGCTCATGATAGCATGCCTGGTTTGTGTTATCTGCTTCACCAATTGCCTATTCCCCAAACCATAAGTACATTACCACAACCCAGAGGGCCATGTTGGGGTTTTATCTTCTGGAGGGAAGCCTGCATTTGTTAACTCTTCTGATGAATGTTTTTGACTCCCTTTTGTTGTACATTACGAACCTTCACTATGTGTGGGTGCCTGGCTTCTTCTTCCTCCTGTTATTAGGTGTAACAGTTCACACATGTTGTAACTGGCCTTTCCTGTTCAGGATACAGAATGGATTCTCCTGCCCACAATCACTTGCCTTATAATTTCTTGTATCTGTTATTTAATTTTCCAAAAACAAAACAATAAATATCTATACTGGAAATATGTATGTAGTCTTCATTTAAGAAAATAGTACATATTTTAATGTACATAATCATAATTATTTGCTCACTGAGATCCATTGAAAACAGATGACATCTATAACATTTTTTATGTTTTATGACATACAAATTATTCCCTCTTTGAATAATTGTGAATACAGTGTGAGCCTTATACATCCAAATAACAATCAAATAGTTCATTGTCATAATGAAATAAATTATTTTTGTTACTGAAGTTAAATTTATTTTTGGAGTCCTGTCAAGATGGACATTTTGCCTTTTACCATTTATAACTTTTTCTTAGCATAGAATCTCAGATTTCCAGTTTTATCTGATTTTGTTGCTGCTTCCCCCCTTGACAAACTTGCTTTCTGTCATCTTAGAAAATTATAGAATTTAGACAACAGGCCCACCACTTTGCTAATTTTGACACAAGGATAATACAAAACAAGAACTATGATCTTTCTTTCTCCAAACCTACAATGATGCTAAGAAAAAAAAATCAGGAAAAGTGTGTTATATGCTGTACAATATACTTTAAGAAACATTTCTCTATCTATGTTAATAGAGTTCAGCCACAACAACAGTGTTATAGATGCATGGTATATGTTTATTATCAAGATTATATGGAGGCTGCATGAGCAAGGTCCCTTTGTGGTGGGAACCCTTTTCCAAGCTTGGAGAAGGCTGCTTTCCTGCTGTGTCCCAGTGTTCTAGAAGGGGTTGGGGAATGAAAGAAGAAGGAGTAAGGAGAGGGAAGAGGAGATAAAGGAATAGGGAAGGGGAAGAAGAGAGAGGACAGAAGAGAGAGGAGAGAAGAGAGAAGGGAGTAGGGCAAGAGGAGACAGAGTTCGAAGGATGCAAATTTTATCAGAAGGACTCCTCTCTTACAAACTCCACTTACTCTAACAACCTCCTTGGGTTCTACCTTTAAACTCCAACAGAAGTGTTTATGGAGTCAACAAATAAAGTTTGGAGGAACACAAATATCCATTCTTTAATAATCCTATAGGTGGAGCCAGAGAAAATGTTGAAACCAGTGGTGTCATCAACCTCTTCCTCGGTTCTAATGCAAAGGATTTCTATGTTAAAAGCTTTGTTCATTGTCATCCTTGACACATCTCATTGAATTAGAGAACTTTCTAAGCCTTATTTTACCTCAAACTACCTTGGAAAACATGACATACGAGTAGCAAAAACACATTGAGAAATCTTACATGACACACTTCTGGAAATTTCCACTGACTGTTTTGGGGTTGCTTTCTCAATTTCCTTTTCCTCTTTGCTCCATCTGTTGGAGTGCATTAGAAGAAACTCTGTTTTTAAGATTTATTCTATTTCACTTGGCCCTCTTGTACTGAATACTTACTGATCTTACCAGAATAAGTCAGATGTATTGATGTTCAATCTTAAATGTTTCTGAAGAGACATCTGTGATGGAAATAAACGCTCTGGACAAGAAGTTAAGAGGACCCCGGAATCATCTGACACACATAATGTGGCAGGAAGAATCCCAAATGAAATGTGAGTCTCTCTCCCCTATCTATCTACCTATCTATCTGTCTGTCTGTCAGTCTGTCTGTCTGCCTGCCTGTCTATCTACCTACCTACCTCCTATCTATCTATCTATCTATCTATCTATCTATCTATCTCTATCCATCCACTTTCATTCCTCATTCTTTCTTTCTCTTCTACCCTTCCCTTCTTGCCCTGATCCTCCTCTCCCTTTTCATTTTCTTCTTCTTCCCCTTAACTCTTCCTTCTTCAAGATAAAGTCTTGTTACATAGCACAGGCTGGTCTTGAATTTTCTGTGTAGCCTGTAATTGCTTCAAACTTGACCTTCTTTCCTCCAACTTCTGAGTGCTGAGTTGACAGTTGATATGTGATCATATTCCGCCCTTTTTCACATTTAACTAGTTGAAGTATTTATGACTATGATTTTAAATGTGAATTGATGACAGTGTAAAGATTTAAGATGAGAGGGATGAGAACACAATGAGAAGACAAAGGACATGGTTGGATCCTGGTAAGTTGTATAACAGATTCCAAGACCAAGGAAAGGAGATACTAAAATCAGATAGAAGCAAAAGGGGAGATAAAGTGTATTTTTAAAAGAAACAAGATAAAAAGAAAAGGTGAATTAAATACTTTGGAAGATTCATTTGACAGGAAGGGAGAGAAATAATATATAGAAAGCATAGACATAGGCTCATAGTATGCCAGAGACTCTATGAGGTTTCCTGAATGATTTAAAGGATGTTACTGGATCTGCACTGTGAGACTGTTAAATAATACTTTGTTATAGTGACTATATTACATTATTGTAAGCAAGCTATTGATACATCTTCTGGATATGGCATGGCCATTGCAGCCATGAACTCCCAGCAGTTATGGTCACTTGTAAAAGACTTGGTGTAAGATTAAACCAACAAGATCAGTCAATATTCCAGCAGACAGCACTTAGTGAACTCATTGGATTACAGAGACAAAGCAGCAAAGGAGATAACATGAAAGGAGAAGTGGGAGTGTGTAGGGGATGCCGAGGGGATGGGAGAAGGAGAGTGAGATGGGGGCGGGACCTATGGATGATCAAGATAAAGTGCTTAGATATATGAAATTGTCAAAGAATAAATATTCTAAATATTTATTCTAGTAATAAATATATTGGAAAATATTAAATTATGCTTATAATTTAAATTTTGCTTAATCTCATCAATCTACTAGGGCTAATTTTTCCAGGACCATGCTGTATCAAAAAACCTGGTTGTCTTTTGGTTTTGTTTTGCTTTGTTTCTTTGTTTGGTTGCTTGGTTGTATGTGTATGTATGTGTGTGTGTTTTGCTTGTTTGTTTTGTGTTATTATTTTGTGCTGGGGATTAGAAACAGTGTCTACCACATGCTAGAGACTTAAGTGCTCCACCCTGAGCTATACACACCCAGCCTTTTTTTTTAATTTCTTCACAGGTTATCACTATGTTCCCTAGGCTAGACTTGAAATCCCTCTGTAATCTTCCCTCACCTGAGTAGTTGGTATTGCATTCCTCTTGTACCATACCTGGCTGAAAAAATAGTGCAAGAAGTATCTTTTTATAGAAATAAATGGAGTTATTTCTGGGTCATGGAGTTTTAGACTAAATCTCGTACAGCAAATGTAGTGCATTTAAAAATATGTAAATGCTGGGCCAGTGAGGTGGCTCAGTAGGTGAAGGCACCTGCTATCAAGCCTGAGGACCCACACAGTGGAGGGACAGAACAAACTCCCACAAGCTTTCTTCTTACTTCTATACGTGCACCATGGCACATGCACACACACACACACACACACACACATACACACACAAATACATACATACATACATACATACATACATACATACATACATACATAGTTAAGAATGAATAAATGCTGCTCATTGATGCTTCTCAGGGTTTATTTTTCCTTCCTACTCTCAGCAACACAGCCATCTCTCTCTTTGAGTTCTTTCTGTCAGCCATGCCAACACTGCATGCTTTCAATATGCTTTCTGAATAGGTATGAAAAATCGTGCCACAATATTTTAGTTCATAGTTCCTGGATGGTGAGTACTTTCATTTGTTTGATGATCACTTATAATTTCAGCAGATTAAATTTGCTGCTCAGTAAACCACCCCGTGGTCCCAGGGACTAGATCACCAAGCAAAGAGGGATCAAGGCTTCAGATACATATGTAGCAGAGAATGGCCTTGTTTGACATCAATGAGGGGGAAGGCCCTTGGTGCTGTGGAGGTTTGATGCCCCAGCGTAGGGAGATGCTGTAGTGGTTGGGTGGGAATAGGTGGGTGGGGGAACATCCTCATAGAGACAAAGGGGAGGGATAAAGGGATTGTGGAGGGGTAACTGGGAAGGGGGATCATTTGAGGTGTAAATGATAGGAATGATCACAAGAAATGTAAAAATAAATTATGCAATAAACTGAAAAAACTTACTGCTTATATTTTTGCTCAGTGTTTTAATTGATTTAAGAAATTACATGTCTTCAATAATGATATTACAAGAGCTTTCTTCACGCATGTTTGTGTGTGTGTGTGTATGTGTGTGTGTATTACACTATGTTATATAGAAGCTTTGATTTTGATAACATTTTATGTTCTGATGTTCTGCTTTATAAAAACAAGTTTATATTTTTCTTTGTTTCTATTTACTAGCAGGCTCTAACATTGGTTTCGTCACAGGAAATATTTAACTCTCCTGAATTCCTAAAATACTTTACAGACTCACATTTAGCCTGCTCCTTGATAATCTTGACTTCCCTCATCTATGGCAGAGAGGAGACTAACCAGTTTTCCTTTTTGTTTTAGCAAAAGGTGCCCGACATCCCCAGCTGATACCTTGGGTCTTCGCTGTTGTTTCCATCTCACTCCTCAGTGCTTGCTTTATCTCAACTTGTCTGGGTAAGCCTCTAGCCAGAGTGAAGCTCCTTTTGAATAATCTCCCCCAAGAATTTCCAACACGTGTTCCCGAAGCTTTCCACTCAGCTTACCCACATACAACACATTCGCTGTCTTAGGCTTACTATCAGAGCTCTGCATTTAATTTTTTTTAAACTCTGTATGATACTGCTCTGTTTGCTTCCAAAATAATCACTTTGCTGAGGTATAACTGACATATAAAAGTCCTAAGCACTAAGTGTGTCCACATCAAGATTGAGAACAAATATCTATACATAGAGCCAATGCCACCACTAGTGTCATAGAAACTCTCATTCTTTCTGACATCAAGCTATAAGATGAGATAATTAGTATGTTACAAGCCTAAGACAAATAGGCTGGAGGAAAGAATAAACAGTGGCAGCATAGACTGAACATGTAATTCCTAATCTAATATTGAGGGAGATGTTGCAGAGTTATGGGGAAAGGAGTATTTTGTTGAATCAATGTTGTAGACTTTGATTAATTTCATTTAATATATTTACTGATGGATTATATTTAGTAAATGAAATTGATTTAATAAATAACATCATACCATGTACAAACAACAACCTGATATAGTGAAAACAGAAATTTGTAAGATAGAATATTTGTACCGCATTGATGTGTGAAATGTATATTAATTTGTCAAAACAATTGGAAACATTCAGCAATATAAAAAATGGACAGTCTTAAGTAGGCACTACAGAAAAGGAAATACACACACACACACGTACACACACACACGCACACACAGTATCAACCTCCTTGGTTGATAGAGAAGTAAAACTGCAATTCACAATGAGTCACCATTGCAGAAACACCAAGGATGGTAGTGACTCAAAATACGTGTCTGATGACGAAGGTGCAGGAAATTTGGATCTGTGATGCTTACCTGCAGGAGGAAGCCCAAAGTAAATCTGTTAGGAAAGCTTTCCCAGGTACCCCATTTATCACACATGCGCACAAACACTGGCCATCCCACTCCGAGGCACACACAGCTTACAGAAATGTGTACTTACTGTCCTTAGGATGTAAGGTCAAAGATGCTCAGAGTAACACAGTTCACAGCAGCCTAACACTGGAAGCCACGGAAGTGCTAGAAGCCAAAGAGATCAGGGTATTTTATTCCATGAAGATAACAGGTCACTGTCCAGTTATGAAAATGGATGCAATATTGCTTCAGAAACAGTGCTGGGCATAAGACAGCACCAAAGGATAATGCAGGGCATCTGAGTCGATTCATAGAGAAGTCTAACAAAAGTCGTTCGGATTTGTGTAGTCTAAGATGAAGCAATGAAGCACAGCACAGGGTGAATATCCTGAAAGCCACAAAATGGAAGAACGAGTTGTGTTGGGGTATGATGGCTACCTGCGGTGTTGACAATATTCTATTTTCTGAACTGGGCAGTCTTTGCCAGGAGTGTTCACATTACACTAATATATTAGCCTGTATATTTATGGTTTTCTCTTTTACTGTTCAATATTTGATTATATTTCAAAGTAAAGATATTACTAAACTTGTGAAGTTCATAAAACTTGGTGCAACTAACCCAGGGTTTACCAAAATCCCCACTCTTATGCAAATTATGGAGAAAAAAACTGAAAACAGCATGCACCTAAAAGATTCCAAAAGTTCCAATGTAAATCATGGACAATATGATAATAAAATATTAGCTTTCATTGAATTTACCTGGGATCATGAAATGGCATAGGAAAGAAAGAGTATGGGGACCTTAACTGGGAGGGAAGGAGAAAGGTGGGGAGATCAGCCCACTTTTCTAAATTGGTGGCTACATAACAACAAAAAAAAACCCAACTCCTTTTCCTGACAATAGTGACTCATCATTTCTTTTTACGCTGGGAGAGAGGAGTTGTGGTGAAGCCATCAGGCTACCACACAAGGCTAACATGCATCCAAGAGGAGCCACAGCCTGGAGCTACAGGTAGGAGAAGATACCTCTTTTTTGCTTCCTTCCAGCCTTTGGAGAGCATCTATAGGAATGAGAATTGGCTGCAAGAATGAATATCAGTCAACTAGGACAGAGAAGTTTCTCATGACTGTAGTCAAATACTGCAACACATTATTGATGTGTGTGTGTGTGTGTGTGTGTGTGCGTGTGTGTGCCTGTGTGTCTGTGTATGATGCTAAGGATCAAATTCAAGACCTTGTGTTTGCTAGGCAATTGCTCCATATCAACAGAACTTGTTCTTAGAGACAGGTTCTCACTGTGTAGCCCAGGCTGTCCTGGAACTGGAGATGTTCTTGCCTCTGTCTCCTAAGAGCTTAGATTTCAGGCTTGTGCTATTATTCCTAGATTGTGGGTATTTTTGATATCTGAAATATAACAAGAACTTCATTCAATTTTTCCTTGATTCAGATATATCATGAGGACAGTTTCTTCTTGCTGAGATGCATGTGTCTTTACTTATATTTTGGAATTTATAAGGTTAGGAAGAATAGAGAAATGTTTGTGTTTTCTATAGTCTTTGCTTTTCTTACAAATAAAATAGCATACAAGAGGTTTTTTTTTTTATAGGAACATGTTGCTTAAGTTAATTTACCCCACCCCATCTTTCAATTCTTTTCTTTCTTTGATAAATATCAAACTCTGAACTTTCCACATTCTAGGAACGTGCTTTACCATTGAGTTGCACTGTTAATTTTGGAAATATTTTAAATATGAAAGCAAAATACATGTAGGGACACTGGGTATCTTCTGAGGTAATACTTGAAGTAAGATGACTGTGCACCTGTCACAAATTAAATGTTCCTTGGTAACTAACATCTATGTCAATTTTCACCTGAGGAGGTACCTGGACCTGCTGTCCTGTTAGCTGGATAGCCTTCCAGTCTAACTGTTACTTTCCACTCAGTGACAACCAGACTTGGTATGAGAGTGAGAGGAACTGCTCAGGGATGGGCAGTCATCTGGTGACCATCAACACTGAAGCAGAACAGGTACGCGTTAGCTTGGTTTATCTTGATGTTCTGATTTCATTCTATTGCTGTGACAAACACCACAACCAAAATAACTTTAAAGAGAGAAGAGTTTATTTCCGTTCACAACTTAAGAGTCCATCATTGAGGGAATTCAAGGCAGAGATTTGTGCAGGAACTTGAAACAGGAACTAAGGAGGAACACTGCTTTCTGACTCAATCAAAGACTTATACTTAGCTTAGTTTCTTTTCAGCTCAGGACCACCTGCAGGAGTTGTGCAGGCCACAGTAGGTGAGACCCTTCTACATCAATCAACAATAGACACAATTCCATACAGATGCACCCAGAAGCCAATCTAATTTAGATATCTGTCAACTAAGATTCCCTTCTCAGGTAATTCTAGGTTGTGTCAAGTAAACAGTTAAAGTTAACTAAGACCATCAGTTATTCGGTTGCTTTAAATCTCTTAATAGAGGAGAAATTTCTTGGGTCTCTAGTGTTGTTCCTTTATCTTTCTGACCAGCCTGGAAAGCCGTTTCTTCCTCTCCCACTTTTTCCTTTTCCCTCTTCCTTCAAATCAACTCATTGATTTTTTAACATGGCTTTTCCTAATACAAAGTCCAATATACATTATAGCATTCTGTACCCTCTCTCTAATAATAGAAAACACTACACACATGAGAAATTGTATAGTAAGATGCATATGTTCTTCCTTTTAAACTGAAAATAAGTACTTCTCTCATATAATTCATCACAACCACAGTTTCTCCTCACTCCACACCTCCTAGCTCCTTTCTTACAAGAACACCAAGCTAATAGCCATAACATATACACAGAGGATCTGGTGCAGACTCATCCAGGCCCTGCACATGAGTAGAAATGTAAATACTTTATGTGTTAGAAAATTGGTCAGTTGTTTTCTATATGGTCAATTGTTGATCTCTCTAGACTTTAAGGATGTGCCAGTTCTCCGAGAAACCTATCCTTTCCTACTCTGTACTTACTAGTCTATGAGACAGGCTCTGCTAGGGCTCTTTGAGCACAGTGGGGTGTGAGCATTTACTCCAGTAAGTTGCAGTTCTTTCAATGATTCCCACTTGATGGATGGCTCAGACCATACTTTCTTTTCTTTTATATTTCCAATTATCTGTGAAAAGTCAGACATAGAGTGGGACTCCTGAATATATAATTACATGAGTAGTTAGTTAATCTGGACTGAAATGGCTTCTTGGGAAATAGTTGTAACATGTGATATTAATTCTAAATTAATAAGTAAATTCAGCTTTTTAAGAGCTGAAATTGCTCTCTTCGTGTGATATATTTTCTATATGTGCCCCACCCAAGCTTCTCTTTTCTATTGGTCAACAGAATTTCTTTAGGGATCCTGTCTCCTTGACTGTCATCTGTAAGTTTTCCAACTCTTTAAATGAAATAGAATTTAATGAAATATACAATTAAAGGGTTTTTTCTTTTATCAAAAATAGATTCTTTGCTCATACAATATATCCTGATTACAATTTTCCCTCCCTCTACTCCTATCAGCTCCTCCCTGACTCCCCTTGCCCCTCCTCTAGATCAACTCCATTTAGGTCTCTTACTAGAAAAGAACAGGCTTCTAAGAGATGATAACCCACCACAACAAAATAAAATATAATAAGATGAAGCAAAAAGTATCACATTGAAGTTGGCATGGCAACCCAACAGGTGGAAAAGAGACCTAAAAGTAGGCAAGAGAGTGAGAGAGCTGCTAACTCTCAGAGTTAGGAGTCTAATAAAAATACTGAGCTAATAGTTATAATATATACACAGAGGTCCTGGTGTAAGCCCATGTAGGCCCTGTGCTTCAGTGCAAGCCCATGTAGTACTTGTGCTCATATGTGCCTTTGCAAAGACAATATCACTTAATTTTTACAGTGATCCTATGTAGCAGTGGAATTGTTAGGAGACTCAGGGTTTGGTGAGGTTAAATTTCCCTCTAGCACACTAAGCAGATTTGAAGACAGACTTGTCTGATACCATGATGTCTATGCTTAACCCGTGATCTCTTTGAACTCTTTCCTCCTTATCAGCCTAATGGACATTGCAAAAGTACATTTACTAAAAAAAAATGTATATTTTGTATGCAGAATTTTGTGACTCAGCTTTTGGATAAACGACTTTCCTATTTCCTGGGACTTACTGATGAGAATGTGGAAGGTCAATGGCTGTGGGTGGACAAGACGCCATTTAACCCAAGCGTGGTGTGAGTATATTGGTTGGGGATAGGGGCATTTATAGGCAAACATGAGAAGGATGGCAAGGAGAACTCATTTTAGAATAGGATACACCAATGTAAGTGCTCAGTGGAGTACCAACAGCTGGGCAGTCGCTGTATGCTGTGCTCCCATTGCAGAATAACCCTATGACTTTAGCACAGTGTTTATAAAAGAACAGACAACATGAGAATAATACAAACAAGGGTTTCTCAAGATTATCATTTAGATAAACAATATTGTAAAAGCTAAAATTAATTTTGAAAGAATTTTAACCTGCTAATGTTCTTTTCTGAAACCATCATGTTATAATAATATAATTCCATATTTATAATTTGAATTTTCCTAGAAGCCATGTTAAGAAAGTAAAAAGATGTTAGACATGGTGGCACACACATATAATCTTTGTATTTATGAGTTGGGATTGAGAGAGTTGGTAATTTGAGGCAACCCTGGACTACATAGGCAGTTCTATGGAGGACTTAGGTATGTATCAAGACAATGCTTTGAATAGAAAAACAACAAAACAGAAAACACACACACACAAACACACACATACACACATGCACATGCACACACACATGCACACACCAGAAGAACAAAAAAAGAACAACTGGTAAAACTTATGGTAATAATACACTAACTATCAATTATTAATAATGTTTTAACATAGTACATTCAGGTGCACTTAACATTCAAAGGACATCTCAGTATGGAGAAACCACATTTCCTCCTTTCTCTTTTAATATCAGTTTTTTCCCTCTGAGAATGTCATACAATGTGTTTTGCTCATTGTTTTCCTCTCCCACCCGACTTTGTGCCACTTTCATTTTTTCCACACATTTTGTGTTATCTGTATGTTCTTGGATATATGGTGGACGGTCTACAAGGAGCCACACTCTAAAAATTGACTCCCTCCCTCCCAGCAGTTGTCATTTCCCATGGCTAGGGATGGGACTTGGTGCCCACCTCCACTCTCCATGCTGGGATCTGATTTGCCTTGAGCTTGCATGTTAGTGCATGCTGCCACAGTCACTGTGAAATTGTGTGTGCAGCTGCCATGTTGTGTCTGGAGGACACTATTTCCTTGTAGTCACCCACCTCTTCTGGCTCTAACATTTTTTTCATCACGATCTCTGTGTTTCTAGGGGAGAGGATGTGATACAAATCTCTCATTTAAAGCTGAGCATTCTTTAGCCTCTCATTTATACCTTGACCAGTTGTGGATCTCCATGCTAATTTTTATCTGCTGCAAACAGAAGCTTCCATGATGAAGACTGAGGGATGCACCAGTCTATGAGTGTCATATTAAGTCATTAGGAGTTGGGTTAGTACACTGTCCGTTTATTAGACTAATAACGTAGATTCTCCCCTAGGACCTAGGATCTATACCACAAATTCTTGAGCTGGCAATGGTGTTAAATAAGAGGTTCATCTTGTGGTACAGGACTTAAATACAGTAAAGTTCATTACTCCTATAATGTTCATGTCACTACCATAATAGTGACATCTTGCCAGTGTGTGATAGCTTGCCAGACAGTTGTTATTATACCTTGCCAGGTGTACAGCTGGGTAAGGTTTACCTTGATAGCATTCACAGCACTTTCCAGCACTATGGAATCTAGTCAGTAGGGACAAAGCTTCCAAGCAGTACCAACTTTATTTCTGTGACTCAAGTATGTTGTTGACCATATGTCAAGTTCTGGAGTGTAACCACTAACATTGGTAATAGGTTGTAATATTTAGGAGTTTATTGAACCTCACTGGCCAAAAATTCCAAAGGAGGTGACTTGGCACCAGGCTTTTAATTTGTTAGCTTGAGGTATTTAAAGGGGTCAAAACATAGGGTAACTTCATTTTAAGTCTATCTATTTATATCTGTCTGTCTGTTTCTCTGTTTGTCCTTATGGGTTACTTCACTCAGAATGATTGCTCCCAGATCCATCCTGTAAATTTCATAATTTGATTTTTGTTGACAGCCAAACAATATTTCATTGTGTAAATATACCCCATTTCCGGTATCCGTTCATTAACTGTTGGACATCTAGGTTATTTCTATTTCTTTAGTTCCTTGTTAGTGTTTTAAAGTTTTCATTGTATGAGTCTTTCACTTGCTTCATTAGACTTATTCCAATTTCTTTGGTTAAAGAAATGAGGGCTATTGTGAATTGTATTGTCTCCCTGTTTTCTTTGTGTGTTTGCCATTGTATACAGGAAGACTACTGATTTTTATGTGTTAAGAAAGCTGCACAGTGCAAATGCTTACTAGCCACATATGGCTGGTGATTCTTGCAGTGCAGATTGTAGCTCTGTTTTGCCCACATGTCCTATTTGTTCTGTTTCTCTGGATTCTCCTGGAACAAAATCCTACCTCACAGTTCTGCTTCTCTTTCAGATTCTGGCAAGTTGGGGAACCCAATAACTTTATGGAAGAAGACTGTGTTGTCCTTGTTTATGACCAAGATAAATGGGTCTGGAATGACTTTCCTTGTCACTTTGAAGTGAGAGGGATTTGTAAATTACCTGGAACAACATTCAGTTAGAAGCCCTCAAAGTGATCCTTATGATGGGGATGGAGAAGATGAACCTATCAGACCCAGGGGAAGTGTCCATGCATCATAAAAATAGAGAACACACTGGGTTGTAGAGCACTGTCAACCATGAAGATGTTCTTCATTATTTTTGTTTAAATTTAATTCAACATACATAGCATGGTTTGTGCTCTCTCTCTTTCTCTCTCTCTCTCTCTCTCTCTCTCTCTCTCTCTCTCGGAGGTGCACACTAGTGTGTGCACACATGCTAATGCACACATATGTTAAGACAGTGAGGTTTTCTGTGGTGTTTTAGTAGAGAGAATGATCATCATTCCATGGGATTGAGTTTTTAATCATTGCTTCCTTGAGAGAATTTTAAGAATGTACTTTTCAGTTGGTATGTATGTGTTATGTATTTAATGAAAGGATTAGATAATATAATATTTTTCTCATTTTTCTCTTGCCCGAATTGTTATCTCTTAAAATTCAAACTTACAGCATGGTACTAATAAATCACACTCTATTCTTGTCTCATACATTACTTTGTGACCACAGATTCCATCTACTCTTCCCAACCTTCTCTACCACCTCTGTTACCCCTCCTCCATTTCCTTTCAGAATAGGGCAGGCCTCCCAGGGATAGCTACTGAATACAACATAACAAGTTACCATACACTACGCACAAACCCTCATAACAAGGCTGGATGAAGCAACCCAGCAGGAGAAAAAGGGTCCCATTTAAACCTAAACCACAGTTTAAATTTTTAACAGTTTTAGTGACTGATATTTTACTCCCACATTTGAATAGTTACTGAAGATCTCCCAGGAAAACAGTGTAAAATAGACTTCAGTGACGATATTGTACAGGTAGAAAAGAAGAATACAGACAATTTTCTTCTTTTTCTGTTCTAGCTGTTGGGTCAAAGCAGGTAGTCTCATGATGACCTACCATCATTGTAATGGGCTCTTTTCAACCCCCTTTTAGCTGAGCAAACAATGTCTTGAGAAGCGAAAGAACTCCCATTCTCATTGCTTGTTCACGGCAATCAGGACTATGGCTCACATCTCCATTTTCCTAGAGATGAACTCTGTCTCCTTTGTACTTGTAGGAAAGTTAATGGAGATAAGCTGACCTTTTTACTTGGCTAAGGACTCAATTTTCTTAGTTATTTGAAGTTCCACTCCATTGGCATTCTCATTTTGAATCATAAAGAGACCACATTTTAATTCATTTGTATAAACTGTTCTAATGTTTAAGAGCTGTACTATTGTCAAGAAAGGCACTGAATTAACAACCTACAATTATGATATTTGTACCATTAGTGGTTTAGTCGTGACTTTCCATGAGAAAACCTACTGGAGGCTATCGAGGTGGATCAGTGGTTATGATTGTTTGCTCCTCTTCCAGAGGACCTGAGTTTGGTTCCCAGTACCTACATCAGGTGGCTCATAGTGGCCTACAGCACCAACTCTGGGGTGTCTGACTCTTCTGGTCTACACAACACAAGTTCTTCTTCTACATATACAATACACACATGCACATAAACACATGCACACACACACACATACACACATGAGTGTATGTACATACATAAATAACTAAATAAAAACAAACATTTAAAAGAAAAGTACTGTTCTGGTTTCGCTTGAAATTTGATTTGCTAATATTTCCTACATCTGAGTTGAGAATTTTTCCAAGCGACAATGTGTTAACTTTTCTTCTTCTCCCCTATTTTGAAAGACAACAGCTACTTTGTAAGTTTGTTAATGATTTTTTTGGGTTAAGTGTAGAACATTAATGTTTGTTTCACTGTGACAGTGTGACATGTGTTTTGCATTTGTCCACATTAAAGTTGGTACGTTTAAAAGAAGTGTAACTAATTAACTTGACATTGGGTTGGACACACTAATTAAATCATAAAGCACAAGATAAGTTGAAATAATTTTATGCATTAATGGGATTTATATATTTAATATTACCCATTTTAATGTACAAACCATATACCTGTCTATGATGAAATCCAGTTGTCAATAAAGTATGACCCACCCTCCATAATTTCCTTTACTGTTTCTGCAACTCTGTCTGTAGTCTGTTTCTTGCTGCTAAGAATGATCATTCCCCCGAGCCTTTGCCATGCCTCAAGCTCCCAGCCTCCTATCGGGATGAAGGCAGCAGAGTCTTTCCATTTCCACATTTCATTGATTAAAAAATTAATACGTTTGTACATTGAGATGTAACAACAGACACGTTAATAAAAACACAAAGTAGTGGCAACGCATGAATGTAAACATACGTAGGAGGAGCTGCGAGCTCCCCCTGTCGCAGTAAATAACCTCCCACCCATGCGCGAACAAGGTCCTCGGTGCACTCAGTGGGTCACACACAGGAAGAAGACATGAGAATGGGAGAAGGACTAATTGGGAAGGATTCTAGAGGAGAGGAAGGGGAATGATAGGAGGAAAGAGAGACCTTGAAAATGGCTAAAATAATTATATAATTACATTATATATAAAATGATATATTGAACCACATATAATTATAAAAATATTATATAGTTATATAAACGTATGAAGCCATCAAACAGAAAAAAAGAGAAAGGAGAGAACAGAGGGAAGTCTCTCTTCCTTTAGGAAGTCTCATGCTCTAGTGCCTCTTTAGAGTAATTCCAACCGTCAGGTTTTGTTTCTGTGTTTTAAACATTTTTTCTTTAGAATTCTATAATGAGTACGGAATATCCGTGTGTAGAAAAATGAAACTAGACGTGTATCTCTCACTCTGCAAAAGTCAGTTCCAAATGGATCAGGGACTTCAACTTAAGACCTGACACTTGAAAACTGCTACAGCAGAAACTAAGTAGAATTTCGAGACATAGGCTGCTGCTCAAGGCATGCGTTCACACACCTGGACCTAGAGAAACTCCTTTAGAGTTTTTGTTTTCCCATCATTTATATCTGATGCTTAAAGTTTCAGGTAAGGGAAACTATATTTCTCACCACTAGATGTAAAGTCCATGGATAAATCCTTGAGGACAGATTCCTGTTCCCTGAAGCTGAGAGTGTCATCAGATAACACTTGAAACCTGTCCCAGGATTTTCCCTACTTTGCTGTAACAATTCTTCATTGTTTTCCTACCAATATATTTGAAATATGCCTGAATTGAATTCATGGGTTGGTGTTTTTATAATTGTTATACTAATTTTCATATAATTACTTCCATGTAGGGATGTTATCTGAGGGCAATCTGAATTCATGTATCTAAGAGGATAGATTACAAGAAAAAGACATACATGAACATATTTAGTTTCACACCACACATAGTTATCAGAAATAAAGAAATGGAAATCTATGTTTTGTTAAGTCTGAAAAAGAGGGGGGTGTTAAAATGTGCATTTTAGGAAATAAAATGCACACTACTGCTAATAAAGTAAGGGAACTTTTAAGGCCTGCAAGTCTTCTTAAAGGGGTAGAGCCCTTGAAACCTGAGAGTCTAGAAAGGGTAAGGGGGAGGCCTCAGGATTATGGCTTCATTTAGGGAAGGTAGGTATGACCACCCTGGTTTTGCTACTTTCTGAGGTGTTATATTGTGAAACAGTACTTCTTTCACCAATCAAAATTCACATATGGTTTTCTGGAATGATATTTAATGTTCATGCTAAGTATTTCTCTAACTGGAAAGCTTTTCACTCATACATCTTTAAATTCCATAGAAAATTTTCATAATGAGTGTGAATAATTTTAAGGAAAATTAGTAAAGTGACTATTCTATAAAAAATTTGGGCCGTGAATGTTGTATTTAAATTCTAATGGTGTCTTTACTGAGGAATATGTCATTGAGAATATGAATGGTTTATTAGTCCATTTTGTGACTAAATTTGTTTTTCTATAACCTCATGTACAAAACACTACATTTTTAAAGTTTCAATTAGATGACTCCCTCATCTCCAATTTTCTGACTAGGAAATTTATGTTAAGATAAATTAAACTTTTCCCTGCCCAAGCTAGTTTTGGCTCATGTTTCATCACAGCAATGGAAAAGTGGAAACACCCAAAAGGTTCTCTATCATGATCACATCAACTTCATCTTTGAGATAGAGGGATGTCACAATATATACAAATCAATGAATGTAGTCAACCACATAAATTAACCTAAAGACAGAAACCACATGGTCTTTGTGGTTTCTTTGTACGCCCTTTGATGGAATCCAGAGTCTTTTATGATGAAACTCCTAGAGATTCTACGGACACAGGGGACATATCTTAATATAATAAAGGCAACAACAACAAAACAAATTCCAGCGTGAATGGCATAGAGCTCATGACATTCCATCCCCAGCTGAGGACTGTCAGTTGGCAATTGTCGGGTGTGGAGCAGGCAGAGTGTGGGATGTGGTTGCCGAGAGGCTGTCTATGTTCCATAGAAAGCCTTATACCCAAGTGCATTCAGGAAGCACTGAGTGGACACAGCAGGTTTAAAACAAAAAGCAGCACATGAAATTGGGATGGAAAAGCAATGAGGCAGTTAGGAGCAGGTTGTAGTGAGGAAAGTAAGAATGGGTTCATTAAAAGTGAATTATATAAATGCATGACATTTTCAAACAAAAATAATTTTAAAAAAAGAAAAGTCAAATGTATGGTTGTAATATTTCTTTGTGTTTAAAAGAAGGCTATCAGTTTCAAAATCAGATTGTTAAAATGTTTAATGGAAATGCCTGTCAAGAATGCTAAAATATTGAATTAATTTATTTAGTTTAATTTCCCTACTCAAGGATACATGTTTATTACAATGTGTGAATGCTGCTGAAGGTTTCTGAAAGAAACATGGTCTATACTGACCGAATATCATGCAATAAATGTAAAGCCCTGAGACAGAAAAATGTGAACCTGAATTTTTAAAGGATAATTTCACTTTGAACTCTGGTTCTACTTGAGCAGTAAGTACAAATATAGGTGAAATCCAGTTGATAGAAGAGAACACAGAGAAAATAGGGGTCCAGGAAGAGTGGACTAGACCACAGTCTGTTAGGAGGTGAAGTTTGACTGGCCTTTCCATATGGAGATGCGCTGAAGGCCATCCCTTTCTCCCAAGCAGCAGGTAAGTTTCAAGACTCAAAGATGCATCTTCCTCACTGTTGGAGAACACAGAAGTGTTATATGCATCCATGGCATGAAGAGATAAATTAGAACCAAGGATACAGAAAGAAGAGGATGACGAGCATTCAAAGTCTCCTTCTACAGACAACTTCTTTGCTGGACTGGGTACATGCTCTCTACCTGTCCCTTAATATCAATTCTCATGACCAAGACAGATATGAAAAGGAGAGTTCCTTTTCTTTTGCTGCAATAGAGAATTGCTTTGTACGGTCTGAACAGAGTACTTGCAGGTTATGGTGAGAAATCAAACAGTATCGTGGCTTTTTAGCAATGGTAACAAGTCATTTTACTTATATCAGGGTAACACATACATGTGCAGCCCTTCTGATGCCTGATGGACATTTTCTCGTGTTGGATTTTGGATGTTGTTACATTCACTCTTCTTCTTCCTCATGCATGTAAACCATGTCCTTTTATATTCCTTTGCACTTAGCACAAAGGACTTATTTCTGGCATCTCACAAATCCAAGGCATACTGTAGAAACAGGGTATATCATTCCAGTTCTTTCTGGAGTTTGAAGAGTCCCTTATGGTGGCACAGTCCTCCACTAAAACTATATTGTTGGGCTCCCCAGCATCCCAGAAGCTGTGAAGGGAAAACGCAGGAGATCTTAAATCTGAGAAACAGAAAGCTTAGTAAACAACTTACATATTTGTAACTTAACTATAATTTTGGGAGATTGGAATTATAATCTTCATTTTCCCAGTGAAGAAAACCCATTTGCCTATGTCATCAGCTGGTGGGACCTTACTGGATTTCTATGCTGTCATGTAGATCCATGGATTTGAACCCACAAAATGTCATCATGGTGAGGACTGATGACCTGGCAGATGTGCTGCCTCTGCCCTTCCACCTCACGCCACTTTCACTTTCTGTGCTGTGCTAGAGTCTGTGTTTTCCTGAGGAATCCTTCCTGTACAGTTTTCTGGTTTCAGGGCAGCCAAGCCCCTGAATTCACAGCTGCTGCATTATTGAAATGTGTAATTTCAGCAAAGAGAAATAATGAAAACCAACTGCAAACACTAAAATGTGGTATAAGAGAAGAGAGGGAGGGACCTGGATGGGAAAGGGGACAGGGAGGGGAAGAAGGGAACATGAGCAGGTATTAGGTGTGTGTGGGGGAACAGGACTGAAGCCCTGAGGGCCAGCAGAAAGAATGGAAACAGGCAACCTTGGGAAGAGGTGGAAAGACCCGTCAGAATGCACCAGAGACCTGGGAGGTGAGAGACTCTCAGGACTCAAAGGGAGGGACATTAGATGAAATTCCCTACAGCAGGGGAGAGGGAACTTGTAGAGCCCACCTCCAGCAGAAAGACAAGGCATCATGTGAGGGATGGCTTGCCATCCCATAGTCAAAAACTCTGACCCAGAATTGTTCCTGTCTGAAAGAACTGCAAGGACAAAATGGAGAACACGCTGAGGAAAAGGAGGTTTAGCAATAGGTTCAAATTGGGATCCAGCTCAAGGGGAAGCCCCCAAGGCCTGACACTATTACTCAGGCTATGATGTGCTCACAAAAATGGGCCTATCATGACTACCCTCTGAAAGACCCAACAAGCAGCTGAAAGAGTCAGGTGCAGAGATTTATACCCAACCGATGGACAGAAGTTGCTGACCCCTGTAGTTGAATTAGGGAAAAGCTGGAAGAACCTGAGGAGGAGGTAACCCTGTAGAAAGAACAGCAGTCTCAACGAACCTGGACCTCCAAAATCTCTCAGACAATGGGCCACCAACCAGGCAGCTTACACCAGCTGATATGAGGTCCCCAACACATATACAGCAGAAGACTGCCGGGTTAGGTTCAGTCAGAGAAGATGCACCTAACCCTGCAGAGACTGGAGGCCCCAGGAAGTGGGGAGGTCTGGTAGAATGGGGTGTGGGGTGGGTGGGAATGTCCTCTTGAAGACCAGGTTGGGGGAGGAGGTATGGAATGTGGAACAATCAGAGGGTGGACCAGGAGGGCAATAAAATCTGAACTGTTAAAAAAAAAAAAAGATTACATAACATTAAAAAAAGAAAAAGAGTTAAAAAAACAAATATTCCGTCTTTTCCAAGTTACTATTTTCCCATTATTTCCATTTTAGGGCATAATATTCCATTTTACCCTTTAAAACCATCTGCACTGTAAGTCAATGATGCTTCAGTTCCTTATCATTTTCAGCTAATATTTCTCTTTCATTTTTTTGGCAATCCTAGGGAATGGGAAAGTTAGGAGCCTGTACCTCCCAGTTCCATCTTACTGCATCCAGTGTCACCAGTGATGGACCTGAACTTGCATCACTGTAACAAAAGCCAACCTGAGCATTTCCCTCAGTATGCTCTCACTTTGGGACTGTGTAATGAGACAATATTCCTGCAGAAGAGGACTTACCTCAGGGACTCTGTGAAAGGTGTATCATCCACCCATCGCCACTGACCCTCCACCACCTGGTCTGTTAGTCCAATATAAAACTCTTTCCTTTTAGGTTTTGTGCGAAAAAGGAATTCCTAAGGAAGACATATAAATTAATAACAATTATGATGATAAATATTAATAGATGAAATTAAGTATTTTCTGAAGAAATGTTAAACGTAATTAGTTTTTGGAAGAGGTGAAGCAGAATTGAGATTAGACCTGATAGAAAAGCATGCTTAAAACTGTAAGATTACTGAAGGCTATCTATTAATTTTTTTATGGTAAGAAACTACAAGTAACAAAATTCATAAATGAAGACCTTCTAAGTTCTAGGAGATTCTTGGTAATTCATTTAAAGTTTCTCTATTGTTCATGGCAACTGTATATGATGTATCTATTTATCATGAGAAATTAATCAGCCTGAAGACAACCTGTATTAGATGTTTGCCTTCATTAATATAAAATGTCCTTCAACAAGATATTATTCTAGAGTTAGCTTCTTGCCCCTCCCCCCATTCCAGTTAATATGGGCACTTCTCATTTAAATTAGCATTTTAAAGGCTGCAGTAATGCTGAGACACAATGTAAGTCATGCAGAGAGACAGTGACAGGAGCACATTTCAGCACACATCATTGGCAACAAACAGTTGCAGCTCAAGCATCACAGGTTCTGGTGAACATATCTGTGGACTTGGTATCAGCACAGCAGAGCCTGTTGACCAATTACCTGCTCTTCCTGTGTGTTAATAACCACCAGGTGAGCCCCCATGTCTGAGCAATTCTTTAAACTTGATGACCAGCTCAAGGTTGTCGTAGAGAAAAAGTAACAACTAGATTGAAAATGTTTCCAGTTCAAAGGACAGCAATTCTTGACTGAACCTAGGAGGAGAAAGACTTCAGACAATGCCCAGAAAACTTTGCTGCTGATTCTGTGTGTTGAAGATGATTATACCTGGTGCTTCACTGTAGCAGGAAAGCTCCTTGATAGTTTCATGTGGCTGTAACTTCTTCTGTCCATAAATTTGAAAACTGCGATATGTCACTGTAAGAGGAAAGGGAAGCGGTTAGTGCTTTGCATCCTTTCCAGTGCTGAAACCCTCACCCACTGGTTTTGTGCTCATAACAAAACAGTCGAGAGTGGTTGCAATGTTTCCTCCCTATTCTCCCGTCCATACTGGAATGCCCTTCCTCAAAGAAAGAGTAATTCACATTTGATGGCTTCCCTAACTTAAAAAGAATAAGCTTTATTTCTGATACATGTTTGCAGTCCCTTCTGAACCATGTCTAACCATCTAAACCTTCCATCCATAAAGAAAATTGTTGTGCCCTTCATCCTGACCAGGCATCTCAGCTGCAGGCTAAAATTTCATACAGAAAGCCGACCTAATGATAGTGGTCTGAGAGGAAGAAATCCAGAGCTCTAAGGGAATGGAAAATATGCACTGCAAAAATATGTAGAGATGACTGAAATTCAGTTATAGTTGACTTTCTGGCTTAGGAAATAGCCTAGAGGTTGAGGATGGATAGAGTGAAAAGTGAAATAAAATGATGCTATACATCTGGTCAAAAGACCCACATCAGGGAACATCACAGGCCCTAACTGAACCTATGAATACTGCTGCTCAGCTAAATCAGTGGTTCTCAACCTGTGGGTCTCGACTCCTTTCATGGCTGCATACCAGATATCTTGAATATCAGCTATTTATTTTCATTACTGTTCATAACAGTATCCAAATTATAGTTGTTAAATAGCAACGAAGTCATCTTACACTTAGGAGTCACCACCACATGAGAAACTATTTTAAAGGGTCAGAGCATTAGGAAGGTTGAGAACCACTTAGCAGAATTAATGTGGGGCATGCAGACCTTTCCATGAGAGGAACTAGTATGGAACTGGAAAGGCAGAGCATAGTCAAATTCTGGAAATCTCAGACTTTGAAAGTGTTAGGAGTAGAACTAGCTCCTTCCCTGATTCCATGCCTGCTTCAGAGCATATAATCAGATGTCCCTCAATCAGGTGGTCAGTCACAGACCCAGCACCTTGAACACCTCTCCACGAAAATGTGGCATCTCAGTAGCGTTAGCTTTCAATGACCTTTACCTGCCCTAGATATTCTCATGCCCTTCCCCAAAACTATATAACCCTTGGTTCACCCTGAATCAGGTGTATACATTCAAACCCACCCCCGAAAAAAGAACTGCTAACAAGCTAAGATTGTCTCAGAGAGCTGCTTCATTAAAGATGTCAGAGAAGGCCTTCACTTAAAAGAGCCGTAACACTAAGATTCTTAGAGAACACAGACACACAGACACACACACACACACACACACACACACACACACACCACTTGATCCCAACCAAACAGGAATCCTGCTTCAATCGTTCAGCCCAGCCTGCAGTAGCAACTCACAGCACCAAGGGAAGAGGCAGACTGTGGACCCCATGCTTTCAGGACTTTGCCCTGCCCTGTCCAAGACAGTGTACCAGCATCAGGACTCCCTGAGTGGGAAGGTGAAACCCAGAAGCAGAAATTAATATAGTGTCAAGTTGATATTTATATATTTGTGTTTATATCCATAGATGGATAAACACAATTCAGCTTCCATCCGCAGAGCTTGTCATTCTGGTGACTGCAGAAGTGCAGGACCACACAAGGTGCTGAGAATAAATGACAGATAGTGTTCATCTCTAACTCAGCTATTAGTCACCCACTTTATGGCCCTGGGTACCCTGCAGAAGAGGGAAAGGATGTAAGAGCCTGAATATAAGGAGAATAGTTGTGAAATGTCATCTTCTGACAGGACACTCCTATAACAATCACAAACCAACAGTAGCTGTACTGGGTTTGCTAAAGAATGGGTCCACTCACTCTCAGACATGGTTGGAGGAGGGTACTTCCTCTGTTGGAGTATTTCCTATTGATAGATTCAGGGAGTGGGGAAATTGCTCCCCTTCAATTGTGTACTCTGAATGACCCTATCATCCTCTAACGGATGCCCTCCTCCAATGAATGCCCTCCTCCAATGGATGCCCTCCTCCAATGGATGCCCTCCTCCAGTGATCACACAGATGGCCTATGCTAAAGTAAACAGGTCACAAAACCAAACTAAATGTCATGAAAGGTGGGATTGATAGTCAAGGGAGAAACGTAAGAGAGGGTGTGAGAGAATGAGTAATCACAAAACATTATATACACGAATGAAACTGTTAAACAACAGAATTGGTCAAGAATAATAAAATACAGCACACACAAAACTTTGTAAAAACAAAAACAAACAGCCTCTTTGTAGGAAAAACGATGCACTAAGCAAGAATCTACTGTTAGTCTTTGCCAAGGAGAAACAGTGAATTTGATCTTCAGAACTCACCGACACATCTGGTGATGAAACAGACACTGAGAAACAGGATGGAGGCCCCAGCCATAGTCCAGGAGAGCACTTGGGAGTTTTTGAAGCATCTTTTCTCTGTAGGGAGAAAGATAAAATACACAGTGGATCTTCCCAAAGCAATATGCAGAAGAGATTTGAGTTGAGTCTATCTTTACTCATTCCTATTTTCATTGTCTATATCTTCTAGTCCCCAGGCTTGCCCATGCATCTCTGCCCTCTGGAGACTGATAGCCCTCACCCCCAGAGCTAACAATCCAGGAGAGTTGTGTGGAAGCATCTGCTTCCTGAGGCTGCTAGCCTGGAAACCACACATTAAGAAGCACTGAGCTTTACATTTCTACTTCCCCCATTTAAAATGCTTTTGAACTTTAAGGCCTCCCCTCTGTGCTTTCTCCCTTTCTTCTCATCTTATCTCACGTTCTCCCTTTGCCTTTCTAGTCTCTCTCCTGCTGGCCTCTTCTCAGCATCTCATTTTTAAACTTTTTGTAAATTAGACAAAATGTTGGCAGTGAAACAGAAGGTACTTCCTTATCCCCTGTATACATTTTACAGACAATTTGAATAAATTCTACAGAAGTGAAGGACTTGCTCAAAGACATTCAGAGTATCACAGAAGGTAGAAACAGTGACAGGCAGCCCCCCTTCCACCCCACTGCTAACAGTCCCTTCTCCTGGACTCCTCAGCAAGAGTTCTGACCTTTCCTTTCTTCTGTTTTGTTTCCACCTCACTACTTGCTTTTCCATCACCCTAGCCCTTAGCAAACTTCGAATAAGAGAGCCAAGCAAGCAAAAGAAGACTTGCAGGTTGTACCTGTGTGGTGGGATGCAGGCGATTTGATTGAATTCATTCTTTTTCCCCCCACCTTTCTTCCCTTTCCTTCTCTTCTCAGTTTAGAAAGAGCCCCTGCAAAGTGAGTCGTTTGCCTTCTTTTTAAAAGTTCAAGCCTAACAGACCCGGATAGCACAGAATGTCAACGAGCTCTATAGATGTGCAATTAAGTCAGAATTTCCTCTCTTGCACAAGGACAGGGAGTTTATTGGATACCACGCCACTTCTCACTCCAGACCACAAAAGAGGAAATGGTGAGGTATATGATAAACACTAAGAGAAATGGCAGAGAGGTCCGAAAAAAATCTGTGTTATTTTGGTTTGTAGACGCCTTACTTTTCTCAAAGTCTAACTTGGTCCCAATTTTTCTTTGGTATTATGTGCCTCAGCACCACGTTCTGAGTGGTTGTTTTTGTTTTGTTTTGTTGTTTGTAACAAGTACACATTTGTTTACAGACAGGAGACTGAGAGCCTCTAAATATACATACATATAATAAACATACAGCACACAGCTGGGCACATAATGTGCACATTTACAAGTTACCAATGAACTTTCCCTTTTGGTCCTTTCTGTTTCTTTTCTTTTACCAGCTCTTAGATGCTCACTGTGTGGACTCTGACCACTGTATCAAGATGCTATCCACTGGATTGTTTCATAGATCAGCCTCACATGACTTTGTGAGTCAGTTCAGTTTCTTAAACTGACACACAGTGTCGAAGGACTCATTAGGTACTTTAATTCTATTTTTTATTTATTTGTAAAATTTCGAGGAGGAACAGATTTGAGTGTCAGGAGAAGCAACTTCAGTTAGACATTAGAACTCAGTGCTTCTCTTGAATGTGAGCTCGATATAGGATGTCTTTTCTAAACTTCCGACAAGTTTTCTAAAGACTCTTTAGTGGCTGTAAAAGTCACATTAGTATCAGCTGTCTTGAGCTTGTGAGTGTCAGGAGACAGAAGTGCTACACATATGACTTGGTAATCCCCATGCATGGTGAGCCAGATTTCCTATGTGCTATTCAATATTTTTTGCCTCAAGGAAACTTTCCATTATTTCCATATATTGGAAATTTTCCTCAGAACTTTTTATTTTACAGACACATGGATTTTTTTCAAGTATCTTGAAACATATTTTAAAATTGATATGGGTTGGTTGAGTTGTCAATGAAATTCCATATGTTAAGCTTTGGTTCCTAGAAAGGAGGCTTTGTGGATGTATAGAGATAAGCTCTCATGAAAGGGATATAGCTTCAGTGGCTTTGAAAGAGTCTGAACTATTTCAGTCTTTTGTGGTTTCTTGTCTTCTATCATGGTGTGTCATCTTTACCAAGACCCAAACCATGGGTTACCAAAATCTTTGACCAGGTGCTCCAAACAAACATGCCAAAACAAAACTTGATTTTTGTATCGTTGGTCTTTTGTGTCTCAAAGTTCTTTTGGTAGCATGACCAAAGTTTACGCTAGATTTACTTTTGAAATTCATAAGCAAGATAGGTTTTGCTATTCTCTAGGTTTTTTTTTCTAAGTCTTTTTCTTTAGAGTCTAAAAGTTTTCACTGTTGTGTTTTATGTTTGTTTCCTTGGTTGGGTTTATTTCTATACCTTTTTTGTATGTGGTTGTTTTCTTCTCTTTTCTATATGTCTTTCACTCTTGCCATGTGTGGTAACTTCCTATGTTATTAAGTAATTTGTGTAGGACTTAATTTTCAGTATTTGTCACTGGAAATTAGGGATTCTTGTGTGCCTATCACAATTGCAAGGACAATCTGGGCAGCCTAGTACTTACCCTTAAAGATTTAAAAAGGGTAAGGATGTGACTCTATGGTAGAGTATTTCCTAGCAGGCACCATGTTCTAGGTTCAGTCTCCTAGAGTGTCAGCACCAAAAATAAATGAATGAAAGATAGAGAAACAAAGGAAAAAAGAGAAAAAGCATAACATATTGGACCTCATGCAAATAAACATTTTAAAAAGCTACTAGTATCCCATGTATTACTTTCTTTGAAGTAAGTAAATTTGAAATCATTCCAGTACTTGAAAAAAACTGTGTGAATTAAATATTTATATTTAATTTTCACAATGTATATATATTTCAAAACATTCTATTCATAAGCATCCATTTTACTTCCTGGATATTGTGGTGATTCCATGTTATAAACTTAGAATTACAGATGCAGTGATAAGATGCACAAGGAAGAGAGAAAACTTGTTGCTTTGGCCTCTCTGTCTTGGTATCCTTACTCAATATAATGTTTTCTAGTTCCATCCACTTACGTGCATTTATGTTCATTCTATTGTGTCTTAGCTATTCTGATTCCTCTCTTAAGCCCAGTCTTTTCTGTAGAATTTATTTGTGGATATAATTTTTTCGTTGCTTATACAATGGAAAGTTTTTACTTTCTCTTTCAACTATCGCAGACAGTTTTGTCGGGTATAGTAATCTAGGTTGGCATCTAAGGTTCCTTTTTAAAAAAATCATTATTCTTTTCTCAAACAACACATCCTGACCACAGCTTTACATCCATCCAATCCTTCCAGTACTCCCTCCTACCCCCATTTTTCCCCAGATCCACTCCCTGCTGGATGTCTCCTAAGAGCAGTCCTCCCGGGGACATTAACTCAATACAACACACCAAGACGCAATAAGATTGAGCATAAACACTCACATCAAGGCTAGACAAGGCAGCCCTGTATGAGGAAAGGGTACCACAGATCAGGCAACAGAGTCAGAGACATCATCCCTTCCCATTGTCAGGAGTCCCACAGAACCATGAACCCAACAAACATAGCATGCATATTTTATATATATAAAACCTAGCACAGACCCTTGCATGTACTGTGATTGCTGCTTCAGTCTTTGTGGACTTCAGTGATCCCTGCATAGTTTCTCCATGGAAGTACTCTTGTTGTCCTCAAACTCTAAGGGGGAGACCCAATAGAGACTTCTAACCTGGATTCCTCCTCCAAAATTTTTCCCTTATGCCCTCTCCCATTCTTCTCTGAAAGCGTGGCCCTCCATGGTACTTCAAGTCTCTGTGAGGCTAGGCACATCCATTCTTACTAAGTCCATACAAGGCAGCCCAGCTATAAGAACATATTCCAGAGACAGGCAACAGCTTTTGAGACAGCCCTCAATTCAGTTATTCAGGACCCACATAAAGACCAAGCTGACATCTGTTAGGTATGTATGTTCTTTGGCTGTGGTTCAGTCTCTGAGAGCTCCAAGAGTCCAGGTTAGTTGTTGATTCTGTTGTAGCCACAATCTTTCATCTTATTCTTCCATATGAATCCCGAAGCTCCATCCACTGTTGTGGGACTGCGTAAGGGTATCCTGGATCATGGTGGAGCAGGTGTCTAGAACCCCAAGACTCTGTAGATTCTGGGAGAGATTCTACATGAGAACCGGCAGGAGTTCGACCCCCCCCCCAGAACCCAGGATTCTGAAAAAGCGGTCACAGTCTCTATAGAATTACTACATAGGCCAGGCTATAGGCCTCAGGCCCTAGGGATTTACATACTAATGAAGGTCAGAGGGCAGAGCAAATTAAACATGCCTCCCCCAGATCCTCTCCCAATCGTCCCCCTTTCTCCCTCCCTATATAACTCGGGACTGCCCTGAGTTTTTGGGGGGTACGCCTAGATCCATCTATTATCCGCCATGACAATAAACCTTTTTGGAACTAAGGACTTCCTCCGTGTTACTGGGGCCTGCCGCTGCCAAGGCCCTCAGGCCACTGGAACCATAGGACTCCCTCCCTAATGTGAGACCCACCACAGCGGCAGAAGTCCCTTCGGAATGCAGCCGAGCTTCCCGCCCTGCTTATCTGGTGCTGTGAGGAATCGACTCAGTGAAGATTCCGCGCTTCTCCCATGCTGACTAAAGCTACAGCTCCTTAATCACTCACTTAGAGGATCTCTACATTCCAGCCACGAGGACCCACATCTCCAAGCAAGCTGGCCAGGCCGCGAGTCTGCTAAGCAAGTACAGTCTCTCCCATGGGTGCTGCTAGGGCCTCTTTCTTCTTCCCCATCCCTCTCCTCTTCTTGGCTGTGGGCTGTCCGATGTGAGCCCACATGCCCCGTCTCAGCCCTCCAAGCCAAGGGCTTGAGACCTACCGGTCCCTGGCTGCCCCAGAGCACAGGGGATCCCCAACCCCTTTCATTTTCTCGGCAGTGGGTTGTCCGACGAGAGCCCACATGCCCCAAGAGCTCTGCACCCCCGTGGAACCTGAGAGAAAATTCCCCATGCTGGGCGGGGCCCCGCCGCGCTCGCCTGATGTCTCAGGGAATAAACTCAGCCAAAATCCTATGTGCTCCTGCCGTGCTGACCTACTACGTGACGGCAGACACACGGACACACAACGCAACAGAGATTCACACCCTCGCATGCCCACGCATGGGCCTACATCATTCCCTACAGATGGTAGAGGATTCGGACAAAGCCAGCTCCAAGAGTACCCCCCGCTGGTGCCCGCCAAGACCCTCTCCATAGAACCGTGAGTAACTCCAGCCTAGTCCCTAAGACTAGACGGCTCTCTCTCTATCCTTTCTCCCTCTTTCTCTCTCCACGTGTTTCGGGCCAACATTTTCTCTCTAAATCTTAGCTACCACTAGCTCCTGCCTGGCTCAAAAGACTAGATCTCTCTCTCCCTCTTCTCCACTTGTTCGCTACAAAATGGCGGAGACCCCTTAATCGCCATTCTTTTTTTTTAATTAATTTTTTTTAATTTCTTTTTTTTTTGAACATGAAATGCTTTTTTATAGCATCTTTTACAAGGGGAGGGGGTAAGAGGGGCCAGGTGGTGGAAAAGTACAAAATCTTCTTGGCCTGTGCCTTGAAACATGTCATGGTCTATATGCTACCCTGCCTTGAATTATGATCTACCTGCAGTTCTTCAGAAGATATAGTACACTGCTTGAGTTATGGTCTCCCTGCTATTCTTAAGATGATATGGTACTCTGCTTTGAGTCTATCTGCAGTTGCTAAGCAGGATCTTGCAGTTGCCAAGCTTCAGAGGACATTGTGCAGGTGGGGAAAGGTAGGGGGTGAGGGTAAGGGCGAGGGTCCTGGCTTCTGGCATCTCCCCCTTCTCTGTTTAGTTAGAGAAGGCATCTTATGAT